CGTGGGGTGTAGGGTCAGCTTAGTAAACTTAATAGAATTAGTGTATTCTTCATGTGTACTCTAATGTATTTATGGTTTTTATGAGCCATGTATTTATGTATTTTAAGAATAAACGTATTAAAAAGTTATTAATGGAATTTAATACTTTCATTTCATCTCTATAAGAGCCTTTTGCATTTGACATGAAAGAAAATCGCATATCGAGGTAAACTTAAAATTGAATCATAATTATGAAAATTGAAATAAAAGCAAAATTATTTGCTTCCGAAACAAATAATTATATTTCTGTAACCTCTTTTAGAAACAAATATAATTGTCTCAAAATCTAGTAATAGAAGCACAAATATTTGTCTCTAATGGGGTCACTGAGATTCGAACACAAGACCTCCCGGCCACAACAAGCCCTAATAACATGTCAAGAACCAGTTGATTCCAATAACTCAAGTTGTTGGGAGAGGCTCCATAATGGATCTTATACCATTCTCTAACAATGTTATGTTGTGTTATCTCGAGTAATTTCATTCCATTTGTGGACCTCTTTTTCCTTTCTGAATTCTAAGGATGTTTCTACTCTCAGATATAAGCAGGGGTGGACCCAAGGGGGTTTCGGGACACCCTTAAATTTTGGGAAAACGATTATCCAACCCTTGGTGGTAATTTACGTACGGACAAATAATTATAATTGACGGTGAGGGATACCCCTGAAATTTGAAAAAATGATTATCCTACTGTCATTTTTTAAATTTATGTATGGGAATATTAGTGGTAGGTTGGTTAATCAAATCTAGAATACTATTATTATTAATAACAAACATAATTCCCATTAGGCTACAACTCATTTGTTGTTCGATTTAGAACATTGTGTAATAGTAAAATGTCATTCCTATCTCAAATTATTTTCAAATACTAACAGTTAATAAACTAATTTCAAGCTACTATTAATTTGTATTGATTTTATGGTTGTACGGCAAGTGTTAAAAGAGTCTTTCAGTTTTGGGTTACATAAAAAAATGAGTTTACAAATCGAATATGCGATCGGTTCGTGAATGATTGTTTAGTAGGGTTAGAGTATATAGAGACAATTTTTGAACACGGTAGACACCAAGTATATTCTACAATTATTTCCGAATATGATAACACATCATGAACTTTTTGTAACTTATACGAGTAAGATATTTTCTTATTTACATTTTTTTATTTATTTTTTAAAAGAGGACACCCTATGTAAAATTTATGGGTCCGCCACTCTGGATATAAGAGTTTAACCATTTAAAGGTCAGTCCTACTAAACTTTTTAGGCGGATGTTCAGCAACCTCCCCTTAATCTTTAGAGGCTGAGGTTAAATTATCAACACATTATAACTTCCAATACACAGCTCGTGCCTGCCTAGCTAGCTCATTGCTAAAAAGTTCCAATTATTTGACCTTACATAATTACATTCTGTTTCTAACCACCTTTTCCCCCGTAAAAATGCACAGCCGAAATTTCCTTTGTAGAAATATTAATCAAGCTACTAACTCAAGACTAGACAGACACACAGAGCTTTTTCAGCAACAAACCTAAATTGTTGTTCGCCACTTACTCTTGCCTACGTATTATGATTATCTATCTATCGGCGCCGTTAACGAACAAAAATCGCCGCTGCTATACCTTGGATAAGACGTAGCATAGAGCCCCAGCCATAATAAAACCAAACAAAAGCTGCTCCCTTTGCACCGAAAAGAGCAACGAGAAAAAAAACTGGGTTTTGACAAGACCTCTGGAAATATAGTGGTATAGCACTGCCAAAGAGCACAAAATAAAGAGGAATGGCCCTAAATTAATGGATTCCAGCTCCTTCCCTCCCTCAATTTAAGGGGCCACTGATGAATCTGCAGACTCTACACCACCCCATCTTTCTTTCTTCTTCTTCTTCTTCTTCTTCTTCTTCTTCTTCCTCCTCCTCCTCCTCAATCAACCAGCCCAGAGACCCAAAATGATATGCCTTTACTGTTTAAATATGCAGCTGCACTGTAGAAAGAGTATAGAGAAACTTGGTGATATAAATATAATGGTGGTGTTGTAATGGGGAAGTAATGATAATACGAGCAATGTAATGATACGTTGCAATAATCTGCTTCCCCAACTCCTCTACATCATTATTCCTCTCCACCAACTGCCCCTCCTCCTTCAAGCTTCCATCTACTATAATAATAATAATAATAATAATAATAATAATAATAATAATAATAATAGCTCTCACTAATCATTATTATTATTATACTGTATACACCTTCTTCATCAATATCTCGAAATCCTTTTTTTTTTTTATTTGGAAGGGAGGGAGAAGGACAGGATGAGGATTGAGGAGGGAATTATGTTTGCAATTTGTTTAATTTAAATGGGTGCTTGCGAGGAAAGCAAAAACCAAGTCTGTGATTAGGCATGTGTGGGGAGTATAATTATGATTTTGTTAGGTATAAAAAAAAAGAACATCATTAGCTATGTGTGTATCTTTGTTTCTATTGTACAAATGTATTAGCGGGAAGCAACGTTGAACAACCACACAATATGTTTGATGGTTTACTCAACATGTTGTCATTCATTGGGGGAAATGATGTTTTTGTATGACTACTTGTGCAAACAAGATTCGACATTGATACAGCGTTAGCTAGTGTGAGTGTATGTGACACAAGATCTAATGATCAATGGAGGTCATTGCACCAAGGTTGTCAATAGTGGTGGAGGAAGGATTTGATACTAACCCTGTACGTTTTTCATAATATAAATATTTAATTAATATTAATTTAAAAAATATAATTAAAACTATTTATATCAAAATAATTCATTCATAGATAAAACATGATCGACTGATACAATCATTATTTTCATAAACAACCAATATGAGATTTCAAGTTGAAAAGGAAACACAAAAATATTCGTTGTCTACACTCTTGAGTAAGTCTCTTTTAATGTATCTCACTAAACAATCAGTAGCAAATTGATCACCAATTGGACTTCGAAACTTGTTCTTAATATAACTCAAACCTAAAATGATCTTTCTACACTTGCAGTTGCCATTGGTTGAATAAAAACTAGTGGAACTACAGTTGTTGATGAACAATTTCATGATTGTTGGGGGGAAATCAAATAGGCATAGGGAGAAAATAGATCCGATTAGATCTTTACGGCAATTGAAATTTCATTTATAGTGTAATAATTAATTTTATGTCAGTTTATAAACAAGTAGTGAGTTGTGCTATAATAACAAAATACTCTCATACCACCTATATGTATTATATTTCATCATCAATATATGTATATATGGAATATTGTTTTTCCTCCAAAATTTACCCTTGTCCCGTGAGTGACAAGTAGGGCTGTTAATGAACCAAGCCGCTCATGAACGGCTCGATGTCCGACTCGAGAAAAACTCGTTCGACACTCGATTCGTCTTAATCGAGTCGGCTCGCGAACAAGCTCGTTAACTAAACGAGCCAAACTCGAGCCATACCATGTCAGCTCGAAAGCTCGTGAACAAGCTCATTTAATGGTTTGGCATAAAAAAAGGATTAAAATTTATGGATTTTATGCATTGAAATTGGGATAAATATTATGTTTTACTTTCATAGACTTTTGATACAGATTTGAATGTAATTTTGTGCTCAGTTTTAGGTCAATCTTGAGCTATCATGAACATTTTATGAACGAGCCGAGCTCGAGCTTTCATTTTCATAAACGAGCCGAGCTCGAGCTTGCATATTAAAGCTCGTGACGAACACGAGCCAAGCCCGAACTATGACAAAACTCGGCTCGATTCAGCTCATTAACAGCCCTAGTGACAAGGGCAAATAGCCCTGCCTCCGCCTATGGTTGTCAAATAAGATTAAATAGTAGATTGTAGACTCAATCAAACAAATAGTTTAAGAATTGAGATCGAAATATAATTTTTTGACCATTTTTATATATGTTCCAAATATATAACATATAAAGTAGTATTTTAAATTTTAATGACAAAAATGTAATTTGATTTATAGATATTATTTAGTAATTTAACACCAATATATATTCCAATACAAATTTTCGGTCTCTCCCTTCCTTCCACTTTCTCTTAATAAAGTGGAAATGAAACATCTAAAAGATTTTTTTTTGTTTTAGTCACTCGATCAACCTAGTTAGACATGTCGATTGTTTCAATTTTGTCTGATGTTTAAAGGCATGATTATTAGAAATTCGATTGTTTCGACTACGAATGGTAATCAATTGTTCTGCTATCAGTGTGACCGATAACCGAATAAGAATTAGTCGTTAATAGTTACATATTTATAACCAACAGTTAAACGGTTAACCAACTACGATCATCCTCATAGCTTGGACTGAAAATAATAGGGTTCGAGCGACAGACACAGGCCGAAAATCATAAAATATTTGAAGGCCTACAAAATCCATTAACAATAAAGTGATGCTATCATGTATTTGTGTTGGATTGATTTGATTATTTTAAATGACAATCATGGACAAAACGTATAAAAAACAACTAGACCCTAATACCATGGGACAATTTAGAAACTTGAACTCGACATTGGGGAAGAACGGTTTTGTTGTAGAAGTAATTTATTCCACCTTTCCTAATTGGGTTTTAGAATAAAACCCTCACTTTGTATGTCTAATTATCTCTCCATGGAAGAGTAATGAAAGGAGACAAAAGAATTAATTAGGAATTGACGATTTGATAACAAGAAATGGAGCTACCTACCACCGCCGTATAAACTAAATGCATAACCCACGTAAGCAAGTATTTATTTAGTATTAAGCAAACTACATACGAAAAGTATTAGCACGCAGAAATACACGAAAAATAAAAAAGGGGAGAAAATAATTAAACAGAAGTGAAATATCGGCGTCCCTTCTTTTTCCCGCGCTTTAAACTCAAGGACTTTTTCTTTTATTTTGTCTTTTCCTTTTTTTCCCTTATCATATTATATTATATAGATTAATTTTACCTCTCGCCCCTCCTCCTGTCTTAAAAATCTATTAGTCAAAGTTTGTGTCTTCTCCGCTTTTCCTTTTCACATCACAATTCATAATCACAGAGTCACTTTCCCATTCGTTTCTATCTCTCTCTCTCTCTCCCTTACCTTATTCTCCCCCTCTCTCTCTCTGTTTCTCAGATTTCCCCCAGGCCACCACGATCACAAAAAGCAAAAGAGGAAAAGAAAATCTATCTCAGAGATCACCTCCGTCGCTGGGATCCATGGAAACGGCCAAATGTCGATCGTCCATCCCCACCGGCCACAAGAGCAAGATCGCCAGAACATTCCAGAAGGTCATGAATCTCAAGTCCGCCACCAAAGTCGCCTCCAACAACGGCGGCGGCGGCATCGGAATCTGCATCCTCACCAACCCCAACAACAAGTTCGCCGACGACATACACGCCGACTCCGGCGCCAAGGAACAACAACATAAGCACAAGGACTCCTCCAACAATAACAACGCCACCGCCACCGCCAAGGCCAGGGCGAAGCGCAGCGCCGTCCTCGAGGCGCTCCTCGCCAAGCTCTTCGCCGAGGTCACCTCAATCAAAGCCGCCTACGCCGAGCTCCAGATCGCTCAGAATCCCTACTCCACCGAGGCCATCCAGGCCGCCGATCAGTGCGTCGTCGATGAGCTCAAAACGCTTTCCGAGCTCAAGCGGAGCTTCCTCCGAAACGAGCTCGACCTGATCTCGCCTCAGGTCACCGTGATGCTCGCAGAGATTCAGGAGCAGCAGAGCCTGATGAAGACCTACGAGATCACGATCAAGAAGATGGAGTCCGAGGCCGATGCCAAGACCGCGGAGGTCGCGTCGATGAGGAAGCTTCTGGACGAGTACGCGGCTTTCAATCGGTCTCTGGAGAAGAAATTGAACGCCAGCGGGCCGTTGCCGATGTTCGACAACATCCAGCTCTCTGTTCTCAATCCCTCGCATTTCGTCCAGTGCCTTCACTACTCTCTGAGATCTATGCGCAGCTTCGTGAAATTGATGATTCGAGAAATGGAGTCGGCGCGATGGGACATGGACGCCGCCGCTAGGGCGGTGGAGCCGGCGGAATTAGGAATTCCATCGAAGTCGCCGGCAGCGGCGCAGCAGTACCGCTGCTTCGTTTTCGAGTCGTTCGTGGCGAAGACGATGTTCGAAGGCTTCAATCATCCCAATTTCACCGTTCCGAACGCTTCCCCGCCGCCCAATTTCACTGTCCCGGACGAATCTCCGCCGGAGGGGAAGGAAGAAGGGAAGGAGGAATACCGCCAGCGGGAGAGCCACTTCAACAAGTTCAAGAAGCTGAAGGCGGTGAACCTGCGGCACTACTTGACGCAGAATCCGAACTCGTCGCTGGCCAGGTTCACGAGGGGAAAGTATCTGCTGCTTGTTCACGCGAAAATGGAGTGCTCGCTGTTTGGGAATTTGAGCCAGAGGAAAGCCGTAACGTCCGGCGCTTTCCCCGATTCCCCCTTCTTCAACGCGTTCGCCGAGATGGCGCGGCGCGTGTGGGTGTTGAACCTTCTGGCACTGTCCTTCGGCCAGCAGCTTCACATTTTCCAGGTCAGGAAGAACTGCCGATTCTCCGAGGTTTACATGGAGAGCGTGAGCGATGACGCAATGGCTGAAATTCCCGGCGCCGGCGTCGATCTACGCGTGGGGTTCACTGTCATTCCAGGGTTTAAGATTGGGAAAACTGTAATACAGAGTCAGGTGTATTTGACGCCGGCGGATAATTCGCCGGTGAGGCGTTGATTTTGTAGGGAATTTTCGTTTCTGTATAAATTCTTTTTGCAATGTAAGTATGCTGCTAAATATGTCAATGAGAATGAAGCGCAATGTTGACGCCATTTGAGATGATGGAGCTTGGGAATTTGGTTACCGATTGAAAAGGAGAAAATATGGGAACGTCTGCGGCGGCGCGTTGAAGAAACGCGCTTATAGGTAGTAGTTAGATTAAAATAATAATACTAATTCCACCAAACAATCAATGTAATGATAATAATCGAAAGGTGTTAATAAAGCAGCTCGTTGGAATGTATGAGGAGCACAGCTGGCATTCTGGTCCCACCAGCTGAAGGCAACCTGAACGGTATTATTCGGGCAAGTAGTATTATTATTTTAAGTTGATTATGCAACAAATTAATTATTGTCCTTTTAATGGAGTCTAATGACCTTAAGCTCCCATATGAAACATAACTTTTCTCCTCTTTCGCCAAAACTAAGCTATATTATTTCATAACACAACACCTAAGGCATACGGGGATTATTGTGATTGATTGTCGGTACGTAAAAACATAACACGTTACAAGTAATTTTAAAGGCGGTGTTCTTCGTTAATGAATATGAAAGTTGAACCAGATATCTATGTATACGAAATCAATATCCATTGGATGACGCCCATAATGAATTTTGACAAGGTTGCAAACTTTAGTGTAAAAGAGGAAATAGCCAAACAGAGAAAGAAATCCAGAGCACTAGGGTGGGCTAAATATTTAATTTTGGGTGCCTAATTCTTCTGCTTTAACAACGTACTTAATGGTTATATCGGGGGGTCGCTTTCACTTTGTGGAAGATTTACATTACCATATTAAAATTGTAAGAGAATATAGTGAATTAATTAGTCAAAGATCTGATTTAAGGGGCCATGGCCATGGCCATGCGAGCGGAGGAAGGAAGAAAATAACAAAGGAAAAGGAGAATTGGGACCAAAGCAGCAGAGTAGTATGTCTTGAAATAGATCCTGTCTTATTTCGATGTCCACCACTCCACTAGTGACAAGACGACAAATAAACTAGGTGGTAGTAAATAAATATGAATCAATGTTCCTGATTAGCGAGCCAAGTGGTGGGTTTTATATTAAGTTGTCTCTGTGTTTTCTTTTACTATTTCCTTTTGGCATCTCATTCTTTTTGCCCTTTGGGATAACAGTCATAGGAATGATCGAAATGAACGGTGTGTATTCAAGTACCTAGGAGCTGGGCCGTGTTTGGGCCGATACGACACGGTCACGTTTCGGGCCTATTTATTTCGTGTCGTGTTTGGCACGGTCCGTTAGTTTTCGTGTCGTGCCAGGCAAGTCCATTAGTCAACTTTGTTAGGCCCGGCCTAGGCCCAGGCACGGTTCGAATCGTGTCGTGCTTATTCGTGCTCGTGTCATGCTCGTATTCGTGTTAAATGAAAAGGATGAAAACAAAAGAGAGAATGAAAAAGAAGGTAAAAATTGGACGGGGGAAGATAGTATTAACCGATAATGTTTGAGAAAAGTAACAAATAGCGGGAAAAGAAAATTGAAAGTATAGCGAGTGTTATTTGGCTTTGTTTAATTATTTGTCCATTTTTACTTATGTTAGTAATTACGTATATATCTTTATGACACTTCTAACAACAACACATAATTATTTTTCTACTTGTGTTTTGTAATATTTGAATCTATGATTCTTTTTATACTTATTTTCTATCAAATAAATATTATTTTCGTGTCATGTCCGTTCTTATACTCAATAAAGTCTAAAAAATATTAGGCCCGACACGGCCCACTTATATAACGTGTCGTGCCCATGAAGTTTAGGCATGGCACGGCCCATGAATTATTTGTGCTCGTTCCGGGCTAGCCCATTTATTCCGTGCCCGTGCTCGTGCCGTACTCTAACTGTCTCGTGCCGTGCTAGCCCGTGGGCGGCACGACCCGGTGCCCACGTACATATTCAACAATGGACAATTTGGGTGTGTAACGGTTGAGCCCGGTCTAAATGCAAAGAAAACTAAATGTTCAACCAATACAAGTGATAAAACCAACTCCAATGTTGTATACGAACCAAACAACAGGTACTAATGTTGTCGGAGTACAATCCACGAATTTCTTATCATCGAGAAATGTTATAGTGTTTGATTTAATGATAAAAAATGTACAAGAGAACCAACGTCGGTATGTACTAAGCACCCCAACATCAGTATATTAGTCCGATTTAGGACTGTACTCTATCCTTAAACGGGTGCTATCATGGCCCTATTATTTGTTTACTAACCTTTTTTTAAGTGAAGGGTTATATGTATAATATGCTCCTTTACTATGGTGTTTTATTAAACGTGCCCCTCTACTATTTTTTACGTTAAATGTGCCCTTGTGCTTTGAAAAACTTATCAAACGTGCCTTTTACTAACATGGTAGTCGGTAGGATGACTTTTGGTGATGTTGAATCGTCAATCCTTTGTGTCATACTTTTATTTGTATGGGTCATCGGGATTAGCCAAAAGCATTATGGAAGTTTACCCTATGGATGGTACGTTGGGATGGGGAACTACCTTTGTTTTCTTGTTTTTGTTCTTTTTTGGTTCTTGAGAAGAAAATGACTTGCTTTTCTTTTCTTCTCTTCTCCCGGCCATTTCTTATCAATATATCTAGTCTTTTTCTACTTTCTAGTAGTCGAGGCGGTGGTGGTGGTGCGTGACAGTAAGGTCGAAAATGTAGAATGAGTAATTAAGAGGAGGCAAAAAAGATGCCATAATTACCATTGCAAAATTGTGGGCTTACTAGTCTGTTGAATTGGATTGGATTGGACTCTTATTTCAGCAAGTCCAGTGCAGTTTCACGAGTCCATCTTTTTCCCTGACAGTAAACTTTGAACACAGCCTCTCGCTTGCTAGCTCGCATGTGAATCATCTGGCAGATTTTGCAGCTCTTCTCAGCAGTGACTTCCTCCTTCCTCTGCTTGTTTCTGTCCACTTTTTGTTTTGAACTGTTTGCACTTTGCAGCACAGTCGCTCTCTTTTCTTTTGTAAGTTGTAACCCCACTTTCGCAGACCTTTTTTGCCCACCACCACCACCACCACCACCACCACCATGGCCTCTGTCTTCTGTGTTTTGGGTCCCCTGCTTCAGAACATTTGTGTACGTGGTTGAGCCGATACAGTGAGCAAATCATTTCAGTTGTTCCGTAACAGTTAGATCCACTGTACGTTGGCAAAATCATTTGCGTTGTTCCGTAACGGTTACATCCACTCTACGTGGTAAATCATCATTTCAGATATTGTCATTCATTATGCACACACGGTTAGTTCGATTTGAATCGCATCAAACTGCAAAATCACGAATTCGCACTTTTACTTGTATATCCCTCATTGTCGATCCCACATCACGGACCGTTTGGTTTGGCTCAAATCACGGCTAAGGTCACGAAATACAAGTGTATTTGTCGAAATCACGGTTCACCGAATGCGCCTTGCAGTTATCAAGAACCAGTTGATCCTAATAACTCGAGTTGTTAGGACTTGAAATTTGCATAGGCCCACCATACCTTGTGCTTTGAATCAACTTGTTAATATTGGGTGTCGTGGAGATTTGAATGCACGACCACTTCGCAAAACTAGCTCTGATACCATATCGAGAATCACTTGATCCCAATAACTCGAGTTGTTGTGAGAGGTTCATATATGGTATTTAACCACTTCCTAACATAAATTACGGACTGATCTAGGGTTTGAAGAAGGTGAACTGTCGATGTTAACAAACCAACAAGTTAACATGGGGAGGCATCGCATCGCAGTACAGAGGAAGGGTCATTAATCAATCCATGGGTCTTTATCTTCTTATCTCTATGGGAGAGGAGAGGAGAGGGCCAGTTGATAATCAAACATTGACAGGTTATTGAATAAGGATGGTTGGGTTACAGAGTTGCAGTTGCACTTGTTTCTGCCACATGCCCAAATTGGCCAACTTAAATGAGGCTAGCTGATCCGTGCAGGAATTGGTTCCCAGTCATGGTCCTGAAGTTAATAGCTAGATGCGCCATATCTATAGAATTATAGCAAGTGTTGGGATATGGATAGTTTATTTCCACGTTTTTTGTTTCTGTTTTATGATTAGAGAAGTGGGCCGAGGAAGAATGTCGAGCTTTGATAGGAGAATAGTAATTTAGAACTCGGGAGACTAGTGTCTCAATCATTTCAACTACTTCATTTTCGGAGTTTGATACGGTGGCTTCGTTAAACTCTAAGAGCATCTTCATTGGTGCAATGGCATTTGCAATTGCATTTGTTTTTCTTATTGTTACTTCATTTTTTTGCAATCCAACTCATCTTACTTGCATTGCACCACATCAATGAAATTAACTTGCAATTGCAACTAATTTTCTTGATTTAATTTATTAAAACATAAACACTCAAATAATAAAATTAATGAATAATTTAATAATAAAAAAGATGATGTGGCTTGCATTCCATAATTGCATTATGTGCAAGCTTGCAAAGATGCAATTGTCATCTACATCAATGCAATTGCATAATGCAATTGCAAATGAATGTCATGTCATAATGCAATTCTAATTGCAATTTCAATGGAGATGGTCTAAGTAAACACTAGCTTTTTACCCGGCCTGTTGGCCGGTGAGTTTACCATTTTACCATTTACATTAATCAATTTATCTATATGTTTAAACTATTTTGGATCTTCTAAATTTTTTACATTTGCATTCCTTGGTGCGTCTATAAATTAAAAATTCGCAATACTTAGCACATTTACTTATGATGCTTCGATTCACTGATCATAAATCATGTCACAAAGATATATCACGTCCCATATATAATCTTATGTCAAGATTTGTCAATAACAATACTCAATTTTTTTGTCTTATATAATATATGACATTCAATGAATGTCGAGTTTGGACGAACTCTCAACCAATGATGTTGCTCAAATGACGACAATTTAGAATTTTTTTATAAAGGTACTTCAATATTACATAAATTTGGTCATCCCAATTGAAATTTTACTGTCTTAGTGTAAGATCATATTTGTCTATCAAGACACTCAATTTAATATCTTATAAAATATGTACCAATTGTTAATTCTTGAAGTTTAATATAGACTCGCCCTCAACTCATGGTCGTTGTTTAGATGTTGGTTTAGAATCTCGGTCCAAGATACTCACACATTGTCGAGGGTTCTAATCTTAACATGGTCCATTGTTGTATAATTTTCTAACTTATCAAATATGCATTTGCTAAAATTTATTTATCTTTGGTGTTTGTTTTGAGATAAAAAATCTACTACTTATACTAATATCTTCATTTTGTTGGTGTAATGCCACATCTATTGTCAATACTAAGCATGGTCTTATACTCTAAGTAAGAAAACGCTATCTGGACCACGAATTAACTGAATTTGTGGGCATGATACTATACCCAAACCCTTGATGAGTGAACCCTAGGTCTTAGTTATATAAATCATAGAGCTTAACCCCTAAGATTGTGCATGTAATTTGTTGCATAGATTTTAACGAATCATGACCATTGATTTTTGTTTATAATTAAATTGATCTTAGGTATAAGATTTATAAATTTAAGACCTAGATTTTAAT